GTCACTCCAAAATTTTTTAGACGGTAAAACCTTCACCTCAAATGAGGAGGTCAAAAACCTCCTCGATCAGTTTTTTGCCAGCAAAGACCAAAAATTTTATGAGCGTGGAATTATGCTACTACCAGAAAGATGACAAAAGGTGTTGGACCAGAACGGTCAGTATATAATTGAATAAAGTATTTGTTTATTATACGAAAACTGTCTTTCATTTCCACAAAAAAAACGAAATGACTTTCCGAACAACCCTATATAATAACTTTAACTTTCTATTGTTTATAGATTACCCGAAATTAATGAGAAAAAGTTGTTGTTGCTGTCACATCCTCGCCGGGAATAGAACCCGGGCCCTAGGTTTACGGACAAGTACAATCAATGTTGCATATTAACCACTTTTAGAATATTTTGTACATAATAATGATAATAACGTTGAGTTGGTTTCGATGACATTTGTCACATCTTAGACGTACGTTAGTCGTTTTTGATGCTTAAAACCAGAGGCACGGGTTCGATTTCCGGCGAGGGCCCGATAGCAGTAATATTTTTTTGTTATTAATTTTGGGTAATCGATAGAGAATAAAATCTGTATTGTTTAATATTGGACTTGCGGATTGATGTTTTTCGTCTTAAAATCCCACATTAGGCTCAATAATGTGTAAACCCACCTATCTCGGGAGTAAATTTTTTATCATTTATCTGCCTGGTGCTTTTTCGAATATATTTGTACAGCGACACTAATTTTCTACATTGCACTATTAACAAAGTTACAGTTGCTATACATATTCGGTATTATTTACATGAGTGAATTTTGTGAAAGCTGTTTAAAAGCTCTATATGATGGATGAGCTGGACCTACGTATGTTGATGGAGATGCGTGTAAATTTTTGTTGTAATTCCGTATAGGAAAAAACTTTATACAGCAGTAAGTAAGAAAATGTGCTAATGCAAATGAATTTGTTTGTGATCAATCGATTATGTCTTTCGATTAATCAAGTATTTAATTAACGAATTAATATTTTATGCAGTTTTTTCCAGGGTGGCGGTCAAGTAATTAAAATTCTATAACGTTTCGATTTATTCAACCATCTTCAGATTTTTGAAGTGTTACTGCTTGTACACAGATATTAACTTAATTTTAAACATTCTTTCATACTGAGTATGCAGTAGTTCAACTGTGTACAAGCAGTAACACTTTAAAAGTGTGAAGATGGTTGAATAAATCGAAACGTTACAAGAAACGTAAAGTTGTCTTAATTATTTGACCGCTACCCTAGAAAATAACTACATAATTTAAAAGTAACGGTCAGGAATCCAACATAAATTATTACTATTGAAAACTGCAAAGAATTGATTATTATTAATCGATTAATCGGATATAACGTTCCCAGTTCTAATAGGGACATAATTTTACTAACGTGTCTGGTGATGTTGCCTCCGTTACATTGTGAATGATCTCTTCCATTGTTCAGTGGCACGGCTTCCGAATCGGAACCGCTTCTGTTCTTTTTCCTTCTCAAGCTCGGTCGCGAGCGAAGCTTCCATGAATAACCGCGTTGTATCTTCGGTTTTTCCTGTGGCTGATTTTGTGAGTTTGTAGCTTTATTTGCACTCGAAACGGGAATGCTTACCTGGCGAATATAAAATTGAAAAATTGCATCGAATTGTTTAGTTTATTGTATTCCGATGTACTCCGCATTTCTGCATACTTTACTTAAATTCCAAACGAAATACTCGCTTTGCAGAAACGAAACGTTGCAAATTGGATATTTGTAAAGCGTGTGCTTTGGAAATAATATTAAATCAAACTGGTTTACGATAAACTAACGAAATGTTAAAGAAACAAGCTTTTAACACTGTATTTCAGTTGAAAGTAAAACAGAACTATTTAGTGCATTTTACAAGTACAAAATTTAAACTAAAATTGCACAAAATTAGCTCATATTTTTGCGTAAAAAATAAATTTGACAATCTTTATACTTAATAGCAATTCGAAAGTAATAAAAATGTTGGTATTCTACAATCATAAAAAAAGATTGCGGAACGATCGGTCGTACGGTTCATACTTAAATGACGCCTAAATATGCGAAAGATTCAGAAACATCGGTAACAGTTCATTGTGGAATTGTCCACATGACGAAATTGACATGGATGTTTTTTACTGATAGTTATTGAGTAATAGGGCTCAATGTAAGGCATAGGGAACCTCAAGATATATTCGTAATAAAAGAAAATAACTTACCTTTTCGGAAAATGTAGTCGTCTTTGATCCAATTCGTTCATTATGCGTAATTATTTTCGATGACACTGTCTTCGAATCGTCGGGGAGCTTTTCAAATTGTCGGAAAGTTAAGGGTGGTGGTGACAAGGCTGGGGGTTTAAGAAATGCTGGCGCGTTGTTGTTCTAAAACATGAGCAGATAATATTTATGATGAGGTTAAATTTATCAAAT